AGGGAAAGAAAATGCAAAAAGCATGTATTTGTCTCTATTTTCAAGAAAAAAAATTATCAACGGAATAAGAAAAGAAAAGGAGGACGGTAAAATCATTTGGTCTTGCCCTGGTTCATCAGAACACATGACTCAAAGCGTTGAAAGAGGAACATCTGACAAATCAAATTCTGGATAAAAGGATCAATTTACAAATGGAGGATATGATACATGGACACCTCCAAATCTCTACACACTATTGCATGAGCTAAGAAGCTCGCTGAGGTGTGATTCTAGTGCAAATAAGGGGTAAGGAGGATAGGACTTGAAAAGTTTTCAAATAATTTTGCTGCCTGTATTTCCTTTGATTGTATTCTATTTACTTCCAGTTTCATTTTAAGATCTCCCCTCCACCCCATATACCCTATCAGTTCACTTATTCCGGCTTCTCCTTGACGTGTTAATTCACTTACCATAAGCTGTAGAACAACATTCTAGTTCTGATGTTATTAAAAGGCCAAACTGCTGAAAACTATGGTCTTGCATTGCAATAAAATTGTAAGTAAAGAGCTGAAATTTATAGTGGCAAATCTATACCAAATCACACTGCCTCAACAGCTACCTATTTCCCCCATCAAGAAAGAGCAACCGATAATATTCCAGACTGTTCACTCATTTGAAATAGGAAAGGTAGAAAGAGATCTGGAGGATTACCAGTAGGAAAGTAATACTGTTACAATACATTTATTAGTTTACATGTGTAATACACACAAAAAAAATCAGAAACCATTGCTTATCCATGGCTAAAATGGGTATACAATTGAGAACAATGATTAGGCCTTCTAGGCCAATGAAATAGCTACCCTACACATTTGAGAGGTGATTTTCCCAGTAGATTTCATGCTTCAAAAGTCAAAGAGACCAAATCTATATTGCAATTAAACATTATTTACCTCAGGATCACCAATTAAAAACCAACATGGCTCAAAAATTTACAGTAAAACATAACTAAGGAAATGGAATTAAATTAGTTTAAAGGTCAAAGGTGTCCTCACTAGTACCCTTTATGCAAACAATGGGATAAAATCTGCCGCTCTTATTGTTGCAGGTACATACAACTGTTCCTTTTAGCTGCTACATGTGCCATATATTGAGAGATTTCTAACTGAATTACCAACACGGCTGTGCAAAGGGACAATGGCCAGTCATCAATAAATGCAGAATTCACATTTTCAACATGTATAAAAATGACAAATGAATCTATGCATGGACCCATTATCAGAGCTCTTTGCTATACAGAAATCTATGTCATGTATAAATAAAAATAACCATTGTTTACTGAAAAATAACAGCATTTGATGGGAAAAACTGCTTGTTCACTGACTTCTATGTCACTCACCTGACTAATGAGTGCAATGTATAACACCTAAATCCTCTCTCTCTCTCTTTCTCACTATAACAGAGGCATCCAAGATCAGCTCTAGCAGACAAACAAGTTGCTGGTTTAGAATAATCCCACTTCTCTTTCTGCTGTAATCTAATGTCGACAGGAAAACTAATTTTTGCTCTGACTTGGGGTTGATACTGTACTCAAGAAACTTTCCCAGCATCGGAGGAAGGGCTATACGCAGGACTCTGGCTCAGCACCCTGAAATCATGCCTACAGCTTTGAAATCCGCATTATAAATTATAGTGGAGAATCATTATATTCTAACCTGTGGCAAGTCAATCCACTGACATCAGTGAGCAAGCACTTCAGGATAAGTAGCTTTTCAGTAACTTGGGTGCTCACTCTATCATCCTTGCCTTGCTGCTCACTCTCTGTTACACATAATACACCTTTGGAATGTTTGCTCTGGGGAAAGGAGTGGGAAAGATGGAAAGCACATGTTTTTACCTTTGGCTGGGTAACATGCCCACTTCAGCCTGAGGTGCAGACATGCTGGAGATATGGCTGGAGAACCGCCGCCTCCCAATGGCACTCATAAGGTATGCTTCCTGTTCACTTACCACACTGGGCATGCTCACGGAGTCATCTAAAAGGGACACGGAAGAGACAGACCAAGAAAAAGGAGTCATCAAGAACCCCAATAACACATTCAAAAATGTCCAGGTAATACCAGAACCTGCCCCATGTTCATGCCTAGTGGACACATAGCACAGGCCCAAGACTGCAAACATGGGCATCTGATTAACTTTTCTACCAAAAATAGACATAATAAAGATAAACATGGGCACAAATGTTCGCAGGTTCAAGGCTTTCGACTGCAGGCTCTTTGGCACAGGGACCTTTCTCTCTTATATCTTTATACATTGTTTCAGACAATCAGTTCAGAATGCTCAGTACAATTACTACTATGAAGTTGTCCATCAAAATATGATGTCTCTTGAGAATAAAAACTATACTGGGACATTTTGCTGGTAAAAAACATTAAAACATTTCAAGATCCAGAAAAGTCAACTTTCAACAAAATTCTGAAATAAAAAAAACCTAATCAACTCTATACCCATTTTGAAAAATACAGGAAAAATTCAGTGAAATTTTTCCTGATTTTTAAAAAATTTAAAAATAGTGGAGAAATGTTCATGTAATGTTTCCACCCCCCTTTTTTACAAGCTCTAAATTGAATAATCTGCAGATGAAAGTATTTTGATAAATTCAACACAGTGCCAAAATTCGAAATAAAACTATTCAAAAATTCCCCTTAACCTTCGTTGAATGAGGATTACTGGGATGTTGGAACAAGCAACATCAAACAAACAAGCATGTTGAAACATGTTAGTTCAAAATCTACTTTGAAATAGCAGGCTGCTTCAATAGACATGGAATAGCTATTTCAGCATATTTCTGGTATCCTGAAATAGATCCACAATGTAGACGTATTTGCATTTAAAGAGGGCATGTATAATTCAAAAATAAATCCAAATACCACCTATATTTTCACTTACGACTCAAGAAAACCTGAAAACTGTTGAAGTTTTTATTTCTTCTTTTGAAACCCAAGATGGTGAAGTTTTGCTGCATTTAATTATGTAAATTCAAATCATAGATCAACACTGCCATATTTACTTGATTTAAAAAAGTGTGTTGTGCATTTGTAACACAAACACAATAACTCTCCAATAACATTGGAGAATTCTTTTAATCACTTTTGACTTGCTGGTATTTTCAGTCCAACAAGTAGGTCAAAACATGATCCTTATTGGAAAGGATCATTCCGCATATTCTGCAACATGCCTTTAACTCCATGCTTCAATTAACATGCCTCAATACCTTCTCATTTGCAATTGATTTTCCCCTGGAGAATTTAGGTTCATTTTTGGGTCACTTTGGTGGCTCTCTCATGCTTCTTTTGGCATGTCAGCCAGCTTTAAATCAGACTAGGCTGGAGAGTGAGGGGGAATGACAGTGCTGGCTCTAAAATCTTGCCCATGGCCTAAACAAACGGGAAGATTCCATTGAGTGTAACCAGAAGATATCATGGTCACCAACTAAAGAATACAGAACAGAAGGCACAAGCTGTGCAGTGTTTTGTTTTAAATCCATGTGCATCAAGTTTGGGTCCCATTTCAGGAGAAGCACTCTCTTCATTAGGGACATCTTCTCCATGTAGTAAGTGCTTACACTTCTTCTAGGGCCATTGTCTCTCTCATATCTGATGTCTTCTGGGACTAGCCAGCTGTCCCCAAGCACCAAAGTTGAGTGACAAGAGTTCCCAGCCATACACACAACCGCTGCACCACCAGAAGACAATAAAAGCTACCGGACTAGGAATCCCAAACCTTCTGGATAGAGAGGAGCAGCAACTGTGCTCTGATCCTGACTCTGCCAGCCACTTACTTTCTTCATCCTCCTCATCTGTGCGGCTCAGAGTGTCCTGAGAAGCCTGATGGGAAGGCTCACTGTCCTGCTCCCAGACCGTGCCGGTGCCGGTGTTCGAGCGGGACATGGTTGCCAGGCTGAGGCGGTATGCGGAGGTGGAAGTGCCCACAGTGCTGATGGAGGTCTTCCCTTGGTATGCTGAACAGAGTGGAAAAAACAAAGCCAAACGAATTATAGTGGCAAGAGTAATATTGTTCCCAGGATGGTGAAGGCATCTTCCTCAGCCAGGGTGTATAAATGAAGGCAAGAGGTGTAGGAAAGTCAAGGGCAGAAAGAGAACTCGGCCACGGCTTGTACTTACTGACACCAGATCAGTACAACTACACCCGCCCAGCTAACCTGTAAGAAACCTTTGTCACTGCCAAGATTTCTTATGGTCTTACTGTCCCATCCGTTGCCCCGCTGCAACATTTAGCAGGCAAGGCAGGTTATTATGGAGGTTAAAAAAAGTGGAAATACTGTAACCCACACACCTTCCAGGTGTGATGTACTGTCCCATTTAGTTCACTGAGACCACTTACAGAGAGAATAGCGAGTCTGCTCTACAGCTTTACCTTTACACTATTTTCTTTCTAAAAAGAAAATACTGGGTATAAAGTTTTCCACCATCTGGAAGTGATGACTCCCCTCTAGTGGCAGCAAATGTATACAATGAAGGAGACATTTTACTGATGTGGCCACATTATGAATGGTCAGGACTTTTCCCATTGATTTCAAGGCACAATAAACAATAAACAAGTAGCATCCTATTAGAGGGGAGCTGAGAATAGCTAGATTTTAAAAAAGTACATTCACCTCTACAGCCGTGGTTGGCGTTCACGCTGGTCCGTAGAGACTGAAAGAGGTTACCACGTCATGGCGGTGTGAAGGAATATGAGAAGCGAGATGGTGTTCTGAGTGTAGGTATTGGGGAGGTGGATGTAATGGAGGCTGCCATTGCAACCAGTAGTAATTTGCACTTTTGCTGCCTGTCTCAGCTGATGGGACAGTGATTGACAGAGCAGCACATGAAGGCGGCCATGTGGGGGAAGTATCTCGCCTTGTCCGTCTGCAGGGCCAGCCCCTTTGACAAGCACAAAACTCACTCACAACACAAACTGCCATGCACAAAGCATCCACCGCTGGTGCTGCGATACTGTACCCCCGTGCGGACAGGGCGAAGCTGTCAGAGCAGCTCCATGCGGTGCATTTCTGGTTTTGCAAATTCCACGTGTTTGTTGTCGAAGGGCTGTACAAGCAGCCAGGTGAGTGCTGCTCATTTCTATGCATTTAAGTTTCAATAGCCTGAATCAAAGTGTGCACACAGAGGGCAAAATGATTGTCTCTTGCCATCCGTATCCACACAGAGGAGGAATATATCCTTTCTCCCTCTCCTAGGACAGCCTTACCCGACCCACTGTGCACTGCCTCCTTCAGGATCTTTAGCTCGCTGTTGAATTCTGTGATGAGGGAGCTCTTGCACAGAGGGCGTGGTATAAAGCGCCTCTCCAGCTGGTCAGCGATATGTTGTCGGGCAGTCAGCTCCTCGTGATTCTCGGCAGGCTGGGCCAGCAGCTGACAGAGAGGCACAACAACCCTCGTTAGCAAAGGAACACCTAGTATCACACAGGAACACCACACGGTCCCTGTCCAGCTAGCTTGTGAGCACCCTGGTACCCCAGTCACCTGGCTGTTTGTACACCCACAAGCTGAGGATTTTTGTCCTTGTACGTAAGAAGTTGCTACAGCAACAAGCAGAGAGATTATCTCGCTAGGGATGGGCTCTATAGTTGCAGGTAACTTCTTCTCCCAGCTTATAGGACGACTCAATGTACACTGAAATCAGTCAACATTGCTGTTAATATAGCAGGTAGGAAACAAGGAGGAATATCTAGATTTAAAGGCTTCCTGGTGCTAAGCAATACAGTCACATGCACCAAGACAGTGCCTATCCCAAACAGTTGACAGGCGTAGAAATGGAGGGCTGGACCGGACCTCAAGAAGTCATCAAGTCCAGACCCCAGCACGATGGCAGGACCGAGTAATCCTAAGTCATTCCTGACAGTTGTCAGTGATGGGGACTCAATTTACACACGTCAATGTGAGCAGGAGCAGCCTGCGTACACCAACTGCCTGTTGGTTCTCAAGAGCTGTGCTGGCTTATGACTCAAAGCCAGTGCAAAGCGGAAAGGCTCTACCCATCTGATAATGGCCGGGCAAAGTTCTTCCCCGACCCAAGCAACAAGCCTGCTCGATATATCGTGCTACCCATCCCAGATCCCGTCTGAGTCCTTTAGATCCACACAAGCCTCTAGTTGCCTGATTGCTCAGGGCTTGTGCTCATTGTAGAGTCAATGTGGGCTCTTCCGCGGGTGTTGCCCTAACCCAGCCCCCATCCACACACAAAAACCTCTGACCTGAGGTTGGCGCTTTCAGCCTGGGCTAACTTGGCTATAGGCTTAAGACCGGATTCTGCTTTCATTCAGGCTGGGGTGTCTATAGTGGCTGGGGCAGAGAACTAACCCTATCAAAGGAGATCTAGGAATTGCAGCTCACACCTTGGTACTCCAGTGAGTGCCTACCATGGGCCTCCATGCGTATAGCTAACCAGCCAGGGAAATGGGTGGGGTTAGTGCAAGGCCTCTCGCCTGCGCCCCCCTGAGCACTTTTTAAATGTTTCTCTTTCAATCACTGGGCCACCCAGGAATCAGGCTTGAGTCGGTGTCAGAGGCTCCCTTTTGCAAGGGCCCAGGGGTGTGGGCTGGAGCCGGGGCACAGTGGAGGCGGCTGGGGGAGGGTGGCACGGTGGAGCAATCTGATTCCTGGGAGCTCTAGATCTGCCACCGTGGTGTGTGCAGGGGGCTGACCCCTGCTGCTGTCCCATGCCAGCCCCTCCCAAGCCGGGATGGACCCACGGCTAAGATGGGGACTGTCCCATCCATAGGAGGATTGAGGTGATCACCGTGACAAAACACAGGGATGGGAGCAGCCGCCCTGAAACATCCTGTGGGTGGGACGGCCCTGACGCTGGCTGTGACGTAGTGGGGGGTAACTTGCTAACTCACTGGCCACTGTCTGTAGCACCACCGAGCAAGACAAGCGATGAGTCACTATGCAAAGAGGGTATCTCAACCTGTGGGATGAAGGAGGAAGCAGCCTCAGCTACAGGCTGGGGGGTTTAGAAGCCGAGACCCCCTCCCATATCAAGGGGGGCTGAGGCATCCTAGGCCTGCCCTGTAGCCTGATGACATCTGTGCTGTGCTGTATCCCGAAGAAGCAATAAACCACCTCTATTCTACCGGCTGGTGGAGTCTGTTCATGCCATTACGGGGGTGCAGGAGGCGGGGGACTCCAACACGCCGTCACACTGGCCTGAGAGAAATCTTCCTGGCTGGTGGAATCCTGGATGCCTCCCTGAGGGTGTCGTATGTCTGCTTGAGGGGCCACTCCCAGCAGGACAGGGGAGGTTGAGCTGATGTAATAATGGGCATTAGCGTGAACATAAATTATTCACCATCCACACCGTCACCATTAACCTACTCAGGTGCCAAGAACATTTCAGGAGGGGGTGGCGGGCCCTGTTCTCCACCGTATGGCATTGTGGATCCTCAGTATCAGAATTCCCATCATTTTAGCTTACTCTTGTGTTGCCCAAAATATCCACTGTGATGAATGCTCCTTAGCAGCAAGAGGGTCTGTACACGGATCTACTAGAGAACCAAGGTCTCAGAAATGCCTCCAGCCCTCCTTCTGAGACCCCACGCACAGGAGTCAGGGGTCGTTCGCTAAGTAAAAATACTCTTCTCCCCAAGACCGCAGTCTCCCTCAACACCCGTGTCATGTTCTCCTCGCAAGGCAGTGTGGGGTGTCGTGCCTAAAAATAGGATCTATTGAAGCAGCTGACATTAGGGTCAATGTTCCTGCTAAACTTTTCCAGCCGCGTGCGGAATACATTTTTGTATGTGCATCAAGGTATGTGTGAATGTGCACCACCAGTAGCAACACAAAACCACGTTCCAGGATCTCTGCTAATCAGCCGGGCGGCATGTGAATCTCTCCTGAGCAGCCGCACAAGCGCCCAGCTTACAGGGTACCCTGATGGGGGTGAAAGCTGGCATTACCTTGCACTGAATGAAGGGCCGCAGAAGCACAAAGATAGGGATCCGAGTGCGAACAATAAAATCCAGGAAGTCCCAGAGGGCCAGCCCGCCCACCTTGCGCAGGGCCATCTCTTTGACTTGCAGGCTCAGCCAGTACCACTGGCTGCCAAGCTGGCGCTCAAAGCACACGAGGATCACCTTCAGGGCTGCAGGGGAACAAACACCAGCACATGTCAAGTGCTGCAGCCAGAGCCGCTAACTCCAGACTTGAACAGCTGGGGTATTGCAGTGAAGTGCATGGCAGTTTCTTTACCTCCAGCTGCCCTCTCCTGCCAGGGAGTAGGGCAGGTTTGTGGCTAGAGTACAAGGCCTACCCCCATCAGGAAGCACAGTTCTGTTCCCAGCTCTGCTAGTGGGTTACAGGAAGATTTTCATTTAGTACAGCTGTGCTCCACTGCCAGACACTGCCAAGCCCAAAGTTCCCAGACCACACCAAAAATTCCCTTTCTTCTTTCATAAGCAGCCCAGTCTGGGGATAGACACTGACCAAGGACAATGGAGAGAAATCTAGGCTGTGCTCTCCTGCAGAGGGAATGGCTCCGTAATGGGTGTCTGGAAGTGGCTATGAAGAGAGGCCTTCCGGTACTGCCCTTGTGAGAGCCCTGCACCAAAGCTTATTTGGAAACTGATCAAAGAATCCCTTAGCACAACCCATTGAAAAAGTAATTTATGAATGAACAAGGGTTAGGCTGGAAACGAGGCTGCTTATTAAAGGCTGAATTGTGACAGTATCTCCTCAAACCGAGCTGCCCTTGCACTCCCACACACAGGCTCCACAGGCCATGCACCCAGCCACAGAGGAATAAGGAGACAAAGTGGCTGGGGAAGCGGATACAGACCTCTCTGTACGTGTGCCCAAATTAGCTGAGCCAGTGTGTGCAAACAAAATCAGCTAGTACAGGGGTTCTCAAACTCTGTGGCCCACGGCCTACCCTGCTCAACACAAACTATTCTGCGGACCACCAGCCAACCATTCATGATGCCAGGAGGGTGTGGGATGTGGACTCTGGCCAAGAGGTTGGGTGCAGGAGCAGGCTGAGGGTGGGGGTCTGGGTGGGAGGTTGGGTGCAGGAACAGGCTGAGGGTGGGGGTCTGGGTGAGAGGTTGGGTGCAGGAGCAGGCTGAGGGTGGGGGTCTGGGTGGGAGGTTGGGTGCAGGAACAGGCTGAGGGTGGGGGTCTGGGTGAGAGGTTGGGTGCAGGAGCAGGCTGAGGGTGGGGGTCTGGGTGGGAGGTTGGGTGCAGGAGTGGGAAGGGGGTGCAGTGTTGAGTAGGGAGGGTGCAGGAGAGGGCTTGGGGTCTGGGATCTTGGTGAGAGGGGGTGTATGGGAAGCAGATAGGGGTCCGAGGTCTGGGCATGAGGTGGATGGGGGCACTTACCTGGTTCTGTGCCACCCACTGCTCCCGGGCACTACTCCTACTGCTCCCATTGACCTCAATTCTGGCCAATGGAAGCAGTGTGGAAAGCCTCCAGGCAGCAAGTGCTTCCCTGTGCTGCTGTTCTCCCAGCCAATGGGAGGGAGGGGAGCAGCGTGCGCCCCCCTCCTGCCCCTGAACCACCTCCAGAGCCCCAGGCCCCATGCTTACCTGGTTCCCCAAGGCTGCCAGCACAAAATGGCTGCTGGCTAAAAGACCTAGGGGAAGCAATGCTTTCCCCTGGGTCTTAGTGCTCAACTTCTCCCCTGTTCCTATCCCTGCACTCACTCTTACAGGGGACATGCTGTTTTAATGCTGTTTAATTTAAATTTTTTTTTTGGCGTAATAAGGCCTTGGAGTCCTTTTTTTTTTTCTCAATAATTTTGGTCTCCCTCTCTTTTTTCCCCCCCTTCAACAGAATTTTTCCGTTTTTTTTTAGGGGGTGTGTGTTCGGTATTTTTGTTTCAATCATCTGGCAACCCTAAGTGCTATTTTCCCCAGCTGGGGAGAGGTGGAGCGACAGCATGCAGAGCTGCTTCCTTCCCCAGCGAGCTGGACCCGGTCTGTGAGCTTGGTGCTGCTCCCCTTCTCCCGCAGTGGGAAGCCAACCTTGCAGGGGGGCTGTGCGGGGCTGGAACTCCAGCATGGGCCCCCACTGTAGGGGGGGGTGAGGCCTGGGCTCATGGTCCACCTGCAAGATGGCGGCAGACCACTAGCAATCCATGGACCACACTGAGAAACACTGAACTACTAGCAAAGGTCAGTGATCAATTCCCACCTCCCAGGAGCAAAGAGAACAGATGAGGAAATACCAATCAGTGAAATGTCTCAAACTGCCATGGCTGGCAGCTCGGTGCAGCTTATGCTCAATGCAGTGTGACTAAAGCAGCTGGAAAGAGCTCAGGGCATAATTTCCAGCGCAAGGAGACACAGCACACTGGAAACAGCGCATAACTGCCTTGTCCCAAGAGTGAGGCAGCCTAGAACAGGGGTGGGCAATATTTTTGAAGGGGGGATACTTCGCAAATTTCTGAAGTGGCCCCAGGCCACCCTAGAAGGGGCGGGGCCAGGACATTTCCCATGCTCCCCCGCCCACAGGCCCTGATTGGCCTGGGGGTGGGAGAACCCAGGAAGTCTTTGCACCAGCACCTAGAGAGACCCACCAGCCATTTTGAACAGCTGACGGTTCCTTCTCAGTGCCACGTGCCCCTGGTGGTGGGAAGAGACTTCACGTGCGCCCCCATCCCCAGGTCTCGATTGACGTGGGGGAGTGGCAGGGCTGCTGCAGGCCAGATCAGTTGGCGTGGTGGGCCGGATGTGGCCCCTAGAGGCTCTCTTGCTTGCTCTGGGCCTATATTCTTGCTGCCCCTCCTACTGTATGCACCACCCTGGCTACACCTCTTTTTTGGAACAGGTATGTGTTCCAGCGCGAAATGGCGCATTCTGGTGGCAGGGCAGACATGCCCTTGTGGCTGGGAGGATTTTCTCTGCCTTCCCAGTGGGTTCGTAAACGAAGCCTTTTATTTTCCTCTCTCCTGATGGACACGTGGCGGCTGTCACTCACTCACCCAAGTATGCTGCTTGGCTGGTGGACTCTGCAAGCCCTTCCCTGCGCAGGTCCTTCCCAGCATCCCCTGGGGTGGAGCAGTGTGCAGGGGAGCTCTCCATCATGAAGTTCTTGCTGCGGGAAGTGCTGATGATGCGAGGTGGCAACAGGATGTTAATTACAGTCTGGAGCAGCAGAAGGACTTCCGGCTGCTCCAGCCACGGACTGTCTGAGATCCAGCGAGGGGGTGGCAGGCAAGGGAAAGAAAGGAAAGAAGATCAATCCATATCCTCTCAAAGCCCATGCAAAAGCCACAGTCTCGTTTTCAGTTCCCAACCTGGGATGGAATTGGAATATCCCTCAAACCAAGCCCATCCCCCACTTTGTTATGCTGCTTCTCCTCCCGTGGGCAAAAGCAAAGTTATTCTAGCCTCAACTTGCACCCTTCCCTGGCAGCACTAAATCCTCTGAGCATAACGACTTGGCCTGCTCTCTTTTCCCACACTCTGCTTTCACCCCTGCATTTGATGTAGGTGCTTAAAAGTGAGCACAATCTATAGAAGACAGGGGGTGAAAACGTGATTTGGGACAGACAACTGGCAAGGAACGAGATGAAGAGCAAACAACAGTGGCGAATATCTGTCCCCCAGAGCTCTGCATCTTCTACATTATGATACATTTTGCCTTGTCCAGAACTCCACCATTGTTCTCCTTTCCAAAGAAGTAGCACACTTCTTGAAGAGTGAGCTTGAGAACCACTGATCTGACACCGCTGAAACAAAAAGGAGAAACAACAGCTCCCGTTGTAGCTCCTTTCCATCACCCCAAAGGCACTTTCATGACACCGGTGGGAGGAAGCCAAATAAGAAGCAACAACAGCAGGAAAGGCAAATATTTGTGGTTGTGGGGAGGACTCTTTTTGTTAAATAATCATCAGACCTTTGCTTCCTGATCCTACTGTGAGCACAAATGGAATCAGTAGGTTTAAAAGCATTCCTTCTCTTCTCTCCTGATTGGTGAATGGGGAGATCACATGGCTTAAGGGGAAATCTTCTTTCAAAGCCTGCACAGTAATAATAAGAAAGGATTAAATGATTTCATCAGAAGTTTAAAAATATAAACCACTGTGGAGAACGCTGATTCCCATAGGCATTGTTCACATGGCACACCACAAGTGACTGATAAAATTACTAGCTCTGAGGAGGCCTGAACAGAAGCTGAGAATCTAAATGGTAACTGTTTTTTAACATAATCATGTGATAAAGGATATTCTGATCTCAAATACGCCATTATAAATCCAGAATAATCTGTTTGGAGTCCATATGGTATTATTTCAAATCTACGTTGGTGCAAATGAGATCAGAATTTGGCCCAAATTACCTGGGAAAAAAAAGAAAAGGGAATTACACCAATGATAAAAACAGCATCTCCCCTCTTGCTGAGTGTGGAGGATAATCCAGGATCCACCCTTACTTCCCTGCCTCATCATTCTGCTTCCTTCACCCACAAACCCCTGATATTATGGTGGCCTTCCTTCCTGAAAACAAACAAAATGCACAGTTGGATCCTGACACTTAGTCCAGTCTGAATGAAATGCCCCCTCAGCCTAAACAGATTCACCTCCAAAGCAGAAGAATTTTAGTGGTGGTGGAAGAAACTAATGCTGGGCGAATAGCTGAAGGTTCAAAGCTTGTCTAGAGCACCCAAACTTTTAGATACTTAAGTGTGAATTTAAATTGAACCTCAGAACCACTCAAGTATGCAAATCTGTACGGGAATGCTCAGGGGAGAAGGTTTTTCCTGTGGGACTTCAGACCCTGCTGAAAGTGCTGGTAGTATTATGACATTTCCAGTTTTGAGCCCTTCTGAAACCCAGGAAAAACATGTAAAAATGGAAAAGAAAAAAACCCATATGCAAATATCCCCAAATGATTAAAAAAAAACCCGATTCATCTGGGTTCTAAACAGGGGCAAAGATTCAAGAGAAAGTAGATGTGGCTTTTATATTTTTAAGAACCAGCCACCCAACATTGGAAGAAGCCTGCAACATTTCTGCACTGATCAGTGAGAATGCCCATCTTATGGATGCCACCTCCTGTTCTATGGTGAACAGGACAGTGCTGCACTTTGATGCATTGGCGCTCTACCCCTCTTTCACATAAGCCCCCCACGCTCTGAATGTCCTGTCAAAGTGCTCAGCTGCATGGTAGATGTGCCACTCCTTAGTTAATTATAAGTAGAAAAACTGGTCCAAGGGCATAATATTCCCAAATAGGCCATTGTAGCATGAGCCTTCATTCTGCCCCTGGGTATATCTCTATTCCCTTTGGTTCCGAGCCCACACAAAGGTATAAAGCGTATGGAAGCAGAGAGAGTCCAAATGCACATGGAAGAGCTGCCGGCAAACATGTTTTAAAAACAATTAGCGTCCACAATAGAAACATATGGCACTAATGTGAAAAGGAATATCTTGATAAAAATTCCTCCTGATGGGATCCCGTGTGTTCACTGTTCTAGACTTCCAAGGATGATATTTGATCAGCAGTTTAAAAGCCAACCCTTGGTGTGCAGTCAGGCTTTTTTCTCTCCTATCTGTTCTTTGCACAAACAGTGTCAGTTTGGTGTAGGTCAACGGTGCCAAACCCCACGCTCAATGATGCCCCATGACGGTTGGCAGGGCTGCCTGGCATGCCCTAAGACAGGACTGTGCACAAAAGGTAACAGATGACTTTCTGCTCGCTTCCTAGATCCCGGGAGGAATCAAAGCACGAAGCATGATTCCCCGCTGGTGTAATTCAGCAGAGCTCCACTGACTTCAGTGGTGTTGCCTCGTGTGACACCAGCTGAGGATCTGACTGCTTGTTAAGATCTGAGCTCCATTCTGGTGCTCCAAACCTTTGCCCTGGGGTGGGATGGGGAGAGTTGACATTTTGTTCCACAGTTTTTGCCCAGCTGTCGCAGAAAAAAAAGAGCACCTATGAGTTGGTGTCTCAACCACAAGCTTAACGGGCCTGATACCAGACAGGGCAGGCACACCTGTATCTGCAATGCTACAAGCCGGACAACAGCTGTGCTGAAGGGCAGAGGTGGTGAGAGATAAGGGCTGAGATGAAGAAGGGGTAATCCATCAGCAACACTGGAAGGTCCTACTACTCCCATCACCTGCAATACAAACAGAGCACATCACCAGGACTGACTCCTGCCATTCCACCCATGCCATATCCTCCAACATTTGTGAAAGAGAAACAGGTACACCTCAGATGGTGGGAGGCTGGGGTGCTCGGGGAGCAGGCGTGTCCCCAAATGCCCCGCAGCAGCTGCGGTGAGAAAGGAGAAGGGATGGTTCTAGCAGGGAAAGTGCGGAAGGGGTAGGGAATCTCTACAGGGAAAGCCGGATGGGGTGGAAGAGGACACAGGGAAACTGGTACATTTCATGAATGTACCCACTACCAGCCCTGAGTAGCCAGCACTGGACTGGTAGAATAGGGACAGTTGGAGGGTATGTCATGTAGCCACTGTAGTCCATGGAAAAACGTAATATAAGCAGGAACTTTGTGATTCTTTTCTTTCCCTTGCTGATTTCTTGAAAGAATAATGTCCCGAGGCAGATCCAGTCCAAATTTTGTACAATGTTCAGACTCTCCTTAAGCGCAATGTATTCTTAAAGACTCTGTTCTAATTAAATAAACTAAACTGAATTAAAAATAATTAAATGACCTAATGGATTAAATGAACTAATCTCTGAATTTAAATTTAGGCTTCATTTCAAAGGTGAAAAACCTTTATTCTTTGTCATTTAAGATTTCCCCTTGTTCCTGGCTACCATTTTTTGGGGGGGGGAAGAGGGAGGGTTTGAGGCTGTTTGCTGCTATGAGTGCAACTCTGACTGGTGTAAAGGCTCAAATTTTCAAAGCTGGCTCCAGACAAAAGGTTCAAATAGCCATTGAACAAACACCGCTGCTACAACCACAAAGGAGCCACTCGAACTCTTGTCATTATGGTCCCACCCATCTCCCTCTGGTGCCGTATGAAAATGCTGTATGGATTCTGAATGAAGACAAAGGTGTTGATAACGCCAACATCTTCCAGTTTTATCTGTAAGCGCTTTGGAGCAATCAACTTTCCCAAAGCATCAAACACCCAAACAAAAAACCCCACAACCTCACCCAACCCTCAATCTTTTTCATTCTAAAAATCAGTCATTAAATTTATTTAATATTTAAGTCAGTATTTTTAACCCAAAGGGAACTAAGAGCGCTACCACAGCCATTTCCCTCCAAATCGTGGGGTTTTTTCCAACTAAAATGGAAACATCCGCCTCTGGTGTAAATGGTCTTTGCTCTATTGACCTGATTCTTCCTAGTCACCAAGGCCTTGTCATGATTGCTTGTTACCATCAAATGGTCAGACAGACTCCAAGAGTTCTGTGTGCAGCATCTCTCTGTTCACGAAAAGCACAAGAGCTGTCTGTGCACAGGCGTCAACCCCAACCCCTCCCCCCCATACATCATTATAGCTCAATTAAGGATGAGATCTGAACATTGTAAAGCCAGAGCCTGCACTAGATCAAACCAGGGACATTACAAATGGCAGAGTGAATCCACTCACGTCACCCTTTAACTAGCCACTCAATGCCCTTGTAAAGAGCAGTAAAAAGTTCCCTTCCCAGCTGTAAACTGAAACTGTCCCTACCCCCACCCTCCCACTGCTACCAGGTGTGTGCAGTCTCCACCGCCCCACTCTCCAACTTGCAGCCCTCAACTCTCAGCGCAACATGCAGAGGTGGATTTTCAAAGTGGTGCGTGGGAAGTAACACAAATCAATCACTTGACCCGGGGGATCGGTCCCTGTATCTTCCCAGGCACCACTTTGAAAGTGTACCTCACTGTCTCTGGTGTCTCCTGGGAAGTCTGCTTCCACAGGTGGACAGGTAACAGGAAAAGGGATCAATTTTAATCTTCAGTCCGGAAAAGTCAACAGCAGAAGGAAGCTTAGCAAATGTTCATAATGTTGCCACTTGGCTACTCACCAGATTGACACAGACATTGATCAGTGACCTAAGGTGAGGCAGGAAGGATATGATTGGCTGCCTCTGAAGTGTCAAACAAACCCCTTCAATCAAATTGCTGGCAGGCTCCCACTCAACCTGTCGCCTGGAATACAACAGTAGGTGCCGTTAGCTGGTTGGCTGCCCCGCCAGATACGCCAAAACAAGGTGACGGACATATGGCAACTCCAACAAGGAACATTTAAGACAGCAATGACATCCAAGATGGCAACAAGGGGCATTCCAAGGGTAAGAGTTTTACCCAAGTTATTCAGGGAGCACTGTGCACACTGGGAAATACTCCCTGCCCTGCTGACTCAGTGACACAAAAACCGTCACAACAAAGAGAGAGAGAGAGAGAGACTGGAAGAATTTGGATTTCATCCCTAACTTTTCCTCTTTGCAAGAGAGCCTGAGGGTGCAAACGGGGACATCCAGGAGACAGACAGCTTAGATGAATCTGTCTAATGACCAGTGCTTGTTTGACATTTACAAAGGCATGCTGCCTCTGCTGAGGCAGACCTAGTGATTAACACATTAATGCTACTCAGTTTTGTGAAATCCCTGTGTAGGCCTCACCACAAAACCTAGAGTGGAACAACTCGGCACTCAGGAATACTTCCTTCTCCACTTTCATACAGCCTAGCCTGCTGCATCATGGGAACTCCCATTTAACCTGAGCCCAGACCACAACTTCACCTTCTGCAGTCCTCTGTGGCAGGATAGACAAGTTAACTGCCTCCCTGAACCAAAAAGTTAATCCTGCCCTCACCACATCCCTTGCAGATTGCTTTTTCCTTTAGTGATTTCTAGAGTCTGTAAAAGGAGCCAGCTTGAGAGCCCAGGAGACAAAAGATCTTTTACAAGCCATGCTCCTGGTCTTCAGGGGCTGTCTCCCAAGACTATGTGGATCTGGATACTGGAGGCAAGGATGAGGCAGACCCTGTCTTACTGGAGCGTGTGGTACTGTTATATTTCCAGTGAGAGTCCAGGATGGACTCCTTAAAAGGCTCCCTGGTGCCGGTTATGCAGTCTGTCAGCCACATACTGCACCACAAAGGTAGGTCAATCCCTCTCAAAGAGGAATACCCCCAAGTGACAACCGTGTGGTCCAACGCTTACCTCATGCATATCAGCCCCACCTTTTTGAGCTGGACAGAAAGGAAGCTGTTCAACCTAGAGAGTCCCAGGGGATCAAATGGCCTGCTCCTTTAAGCAGCAGCACGGAACCTGTGCCAGCAGCCCTGATCACCACTTAACAGGCTGCCTGGCCACACTATGTGAAAGACGGTTGGTGCGTTTGGGTCAGCTGGTGGAAGGCAGGCGAGTGACCCAGCAGCTCCTCCAATGCTCACGCCTGCCAGAAGGAGCGAGTCCAGTGCGGTGGCTCTGCGGAGGCGCAGGTGGAGTGAGTGGGAGGCTGTGGCAGGGATCCTAGCTTTTCGGACCCACGATGAAGAAGGGATAGTAGAAAAGACAGTGAGATAATGGCAAAAAACAGCACTAGCAAGATGAGGCAGCGTGAAAAGTAGGTCCCAATTCTCTGAGAGGGCAGCATTTTTGAAAGGGTTCATCCAATGCAGTAGGAAGGTGGGAGGAGAGGTGAAAGATCCCCACCTCGCTCGGTACGCACAACACCCCATCAGAATTGCAGACATTCAGTGGTGGGAACGACGGAATTTAACAGAGTTTCCCTCCCCTTACACTCTTGGCCTCTTGGCTAATGCTACCAACAAGGTTACCAATTCAAGGCAACTGTCATGGTGTGTTTTTGTGATCTAGGAATTTTTCCAGAAGAGACTGGACCAAGATCAGCTTCTTTCCCACAGGCCACCAAAAGGCCATCATGCTACTAACCTGGACTGAAGTCACATCAGTGAGGCCAAAAGGCCCCATGTTGAATTATCATCCCCTGGAACCTCCCACATTACTTCTTGTGATGCTGCTTTCATCACTCACGTCTTCTTTAGCCATATGTATTTGGATACTACTACCATCTCAGGCTATTCTTATAATTTGTACAGAGCCTTATGGTAATCAGGTACTTTAAAAATACTCTTCCCATAATTTAACATACTTTTTTAAAAACAGTAAACATAAAAGACCCAGAAATAATGAGACTCTTTTTAGCCTGAAGACTTATTTTGGGAGAGGGAATGTGTTAGATTTCCATTTCTTATGGTCACTCTCAATAAAATATGCATTTCCTCTCTTGCTGCCCGGAAACCGGCACCAAGAAAAATGGCGACATACATATGCACCAACAGGAGAAATGCATCTTTGTTTTGCTGTAAAAGTTCAGTGCAGCATGACACTGTCAATAAAATGACATACCCTTACTTCAAGGCTTGCAACATCAGAAACGGACCCAAAGGTTTCCGTTACACCTGCTCACCTCAAAGTAGGCATCTTGTGAATTTTATTGAACATACGATCCAATCGCTTTAAGATGAGGATAAGGGCAGGTCTCACGGCCTCGGCTGTCCAGTCGGTGATGGGCAGCATCTCCATGATGTAGCGCCGGAGCCCGCGGCTTTCCATCGTCTGGGTATCATAAGGTGCCAGCTTCAGAAGGGAATGTGCAATTTCTGCCAACCTAAAATTATGGCTTGTTAAGAGGGAAATCTGGTACTCTAACACGAGCGTCTCTGTAACACAGAGCCATGCCAACTGCTTGGTGGAGGTATCACCAATCTCTTTTAACGGAAGGATATTGTTGAGGGTAGAGCCCTGCAATTTAAACTCTTAGGTCAAATAATGACACATTCCTGGCCCCTGGTGGAACCAGTACTTCTGCACATGCATGTACATGGTATCTAAGGATTACATCATCATGGGCATCTTTATGTGGATAGTAGATGGGTAAATTGCATCAAAGAGATCACAAAGAAAGGCTAGCTCATGTTACTAAAACAGGGATCAAATACAGTAGTATCTTTGTTCAGCTGATAATAATATACAATGTAGGCAATCCCAGTGAAGGGTCTTTAGCAGTGCACAGCAATTATTGGACGTGTATCAGTGAAGCTGGAGTGGTTTGATTTTCTGTCATGTTGCCAGATCAATATGAGATAAATACGGAAAACTGCATATTTCCATGCCATTTTGATGCATTTAACTTGACAAAAATAATGTGGTTCACAGATCTATGTAATCTGTGTTATTTAGGATTATTTTCCCCAACATGGTTCATTTTGCTTTCCCATTAGCTTCACTTATGGCTTTTTTTTGGCTCTTTCTGACTCTCCCAGATAACCATGATTATGGGGTATCTTTTATCTCATGCTTGGAATAAGAATGGCAATTAAACAGATACTTGAAAACTTCTTGTAATTTTTTTAATGTGCTGAAATTGAAACATATTATGGGAATGTGTCAATTTTGATAAAACTGCATTGTCCAACAGAAAACTGTTCTGTTGAAAACTGTTCAACTAGCACTAATGACAAACTCGAAAAAATGGATCTTGAGGACCAGGACTGTGTGCTGGAAGGGTATTTTCCTCTCAGCTTCACCAAGGTAGAGACTGGGAAAAAAAACTTTGGAAAAAGTCTGAAGAAAAAACAGCCATAAAACATGCACAAAATATGGTATGAGAAGAGAGAAATTCTCCCCTCAGGCTTTGCTTTTCTAGCTCTGTAGGCTGAAGTTAATGTGCTATGCAATGGCTGAATACAATACTGAAGCAGAGACACACCTCCTAGCAGAAAGCCATAGCCCAGATAGTGCAGGGGATGTACTGTTTGAAATGATGCGGATATGTTGTTCTGCGAGGCTGTGTCACAATGCCACAGTACCTTAACTCTGTGAGAGCTGCTTTTTAAAAGCACTGTAATTCTTGAATGAATTTAACTGAGAGATAAAAGATAAATAGCTCAGCACTGTTTTATATATTTTCTGGCTGTTATTTTAGGGTAATTTATAACATTAACAATGTGGTATAGGATTTGAAAAAGCCGCATTATCTTGTTTCATCTGCACATTAATAAACATCTTTTCTTTTATCAGTCATATTTTGGTTTGATGAAGGTGATCAGGAGTTTAGAGCTACCCTGAGAACCCTAATGGCTATCAGCCATTGCGGCTGAGTTTCTGTCTTTGGATTCAACAATGGCAACTGGAAAACATCCAAGCACACTCCCTTTGCTAGTGAGACGCATTAAGTTTGGATCTGATTTCAGTGCAAGATGCTCAGGTACAATGGTCGCCTACTCTGTCTTGTTATATGTGAGGACGAGCAGTTATATTTGGCAGGCTTTCCAGTCCCAAAGACAGTCCACAGTATATAAGATTTAAAAAAAAACTCTTTGTAGTTGTGATTTGTTCTTTGAATCTGAGACGTTCCCGTCCCTTTCTCAGAACAGTTCACAAGCGCTCCAGAGGGCCCTTACAGCTCCCAAAGAAGAAGCCTCCAAATTCTTTGGAGAAAAAGATGACCTACCATTTGATTTCATGCTAACTATGGATGAGACCATTTGTTTGTGTTTTAGCCCCAGCAAGCCAGACACTTCTAGCACTGAAACCAAACCAGCACTTTTCTGGAGCAGCAGAGGAGTCACATTATTCTATCCACTCTGACTTCAGCGATTCAGACCCTCAGCTCCATTATGGTGACTTCTGATCTCTTTCCACCTTGGAAAACAGGCCAGCATCGCCACATAATCCCCTACTTTCTGATTCTTTAGAATATCTCAACAAAATTGCCTGATGGCATTATTGAATCATCTGATGGAAGAGATTTAGACTTAGACTAGCTTAGTTCTGTGACTTCAACACATACAAACCTAAAGTATCCATATGAGTCTAAAGAAGTCCTAGATTATGCAAACTGAGAGCCCCTTATATTGTGTACAAAGGCAAAACAAGGATATCGATGAAATATGGAAGATCTCCAGCCTTCACAATGTTATGCTATGAGCTAAATCCTTGTATTAGATGTACATTCCTGAGGCTCACTGAATAGTTGGAGAATTTGTACTGCAACAAAATGGGCATACAAGTAGTTATTCCTTCCTATTTTTGATATCCTAGCACTTACTTTCCGGAGGAAAATGTTTCACAATGATCTACACAGGGCCAGACTGCAGATATGCACCTACATTTAAATCAGCCACATACTACATGAGAATGTCCTGCATCTGCTCTAAAAGGTTTTAGTTCAAGGAACAATCCCAAAGCGTCTAATGATATCCTCCAAAAGCATTCAGATACCCACAAGTTATGGTGAGAGCTACATTAAAACTGCCCCAAGGGAGCTGACCGAATTGCCAGGCACCTGAGCAAGGTGTGTGTGAGGGGGGTGGTTCTATGCACCTGAAAAGGGTGAGCCCTCAGGAAGAAGGGGTAGCGCTGGGGACAAACAGTCCTGAGCATTGCCCAAGCCCGCCATGCCCCCTGCCACCAGACCTTAGCACCAGCTGAACTGTGCCAGGAGTGGCAGCAGCTGGGAGCCCTGGGCCCTTTTGAATTGGTGGGCATTGGGACTGTGGCCCTCTCCCCGCCCCATCGGAGGGCCTGAACTGTGCCATATTAGTCCTGGTTTCCAATACATTACAGGATACAGTACACACACTTACTACTCGCAATCACAGACAATACATCAGAACACACCTGCAGCATAGGCAGAACCAACAATACCCCACAGAATATAATTTCCCCTGCAGATTAATTTTTGGTCTATCAACTATGCCCACACATGTGGAGGAATAACCATCAGGCAAGCACATATATGTTTTAGTGACTCTTGAGACAAAGGCCAACTTCAACAGACTATTTGATAGCAGGAATTGCTGCCCCAGATTGCAAGCGTATGAAATGTCCAGGAAATGCAAAGGGAATTGGAGACGATCTAGGGAACACCACATACCATTTCTGGAAGGCTCTGCCAGCATGAGTAATTGTTAGAACAAATAAAAGCGCAAGTGGTTACTTTTGGCTTTATGAAAAATTAGTCAGGGAATGAAAATGGCAAATCCCTGAGAGGAATCCACTTTCCTACAGGTCTCTGTTCAGATTTCTCCTCCTTCTGCATTCATGACTAGCACACATTTGCCTCTTCTTAGGCTTAGGGTACTAGAACTTAATGACTTTCCCCACCCCCTCCTCCTCCCGTTTCACCCCTTTTCGTGGAATGGAAGCAAGCTGACAGACTCCTGATTGGAAGCCTCTGGACATACCCTGTTCCCAAGGCTGAATGAGGTAGAGTGCTCACTCAGACTTGCCCCTGGAACTGCATACAGCATCCTGCATACAAAGCGTGCATTTCTTCACCGTTATACAGACAAGCACACATAGAGTTGTACGGCAAATGGAGTACCTCATGTGAGACTTAACATCCAGCAGCTCCAGGGAAGTCACCCTGGGCTCTCCAGCCAGGTTCTGCAATATCTTCAGCCTAGGGCCACAGTGCTTATAGAACTCAGTGCAGATATTCAGTAGGGACTCTCTGGGCCTCCTGAACTCCTCCCTAGCAATTCGCTCATCCAGCTCTTCCCGGGGGAGACCCTGGCCTTCCTCCAGCAAATGAAGGTTTTCCCTGGGGATTAAAAAAAGTGAGGGTGTATGGTGCATAGCTGAAAGGTGACGCAGACAGCTTGGTAAATGAGATTGTAATTACTGCTCTGCAAAAGCCACTTCCCCTGTGACAGAAAAGGAAGGCAAAGCACCTGGCACTTGTAGTAAGGGGAGAGAGAGAGAGAGAGAGAGAGAGAGAGAGAGAGAGATTATTACCTCCAGGATGGAGAATTAGCCTTGTTTAAATGAAAATACCTTCCGCTGGTTTCCCCTGAAACAGCATCCCTTGCCTCAATTACTGTAAGTGCAACCTGATGAACTAAGAATCCGCCTCAGAGGAGTTCATCATAAGATGCCAGGGAAAATGGGTGTAGGTCTTACTGTACCTGATAAAGTGCAGTTTGACTCCTTGATCCGGGTACCTGGGAAGTTGAAAATGCAGACACTGTGATTCCAAATAGGAACTCCAGCACATCAGAATTGCCATATTGGTTCAGATCCTCTGTCTCACAGATGCTTCAGAGGAACGTGCAAGAAAACCCAGAGTAGGCAGATGCGAGCTAGGCTGCTACCCAGAAAAAACAAACACAAAAAAACTCTTCCTAATCCATAATAATAATTAGCAATTGGCTTTAACCCTGAAGCATGAGGTTTTATGTCCCACTCAAAACTTTTTTTTAGTGTTTTTTTCAAGTGTCCCTTGTTTGTGTATTATCGGACAAAAAGAACATAAGCTTTGCATACTTGGAGTCTCCACCATTTGATATTTTGCATGCCCCCTCTTCTTTACCACCTTTAGAGGTACATATCCCAGTCTTTTCATTCTCTCTTTGTATAAGGTCTGCTTCCTTTACCTATTCATTCTTATTGCCTGTCTCTGAATCTCTCTGGCTCTGCCAGTCTTCTAACATGTACATACACAGTATTTTAGCTGAGGGCATATCCTTATTTTATATGATGGCATTAAAATATTTCCCATATTTTTCTCCCTCCTAACATTTTATTTTGTGAGACCAGATCTTAACTAATGGAGAACCTCTTTAATCATTGTCTTTTGACTCCCAGGAAAAATAATTTGGAAGCTGCAATAGCGATCAAGTTTTGAATCACTAAATTCCGGCTCTTACTATTGAGTCTGTTATACGGAGACCACTGCAGACAACACAAATGGGAAACAAAAAATGGTGGAGATTTTTACTACCTCTGTATCCTATCTTTAGTCCGCAATCAGTGGATGGGTGCCCTTCCATTCCTGGACTAGATATGTGTCCCATAGAGCTGCAGCAGGGGTAAGTCCAGGACCTGGCATGAGCCGGGACTAAGCAGTCCTGGCTCGCGCCGGATCCCAGACCTCAGCATTTTAAAATGTCATGAAAGCCGGTTTTTACTACATTTTCAAATGCAGAGCCGCAGCAGGGGTAGGTCCCAAATGTGGTGCGAGTTGGGACTGAGCTGTCCTGGCTCCTGCTGGGTCCTAGACCACTGCACATCTGTCTCCCTTTCCCCCTCTCTCCCTGCACCGCAGAGATGGTGCTGGGGGGGAAACCGGCATTTAAGCTGCTCCCCCCCAGCACTGGCTCCTGCTCTCCTCCCTTCCCCTGCTTGCTGCAAGGGGTGGGGAAGCGAGCAGTCCAGTAGTGACTAACCTAGGCTTATCAGGTAGTCGACTACTCGACTAGTCGCTTACATCCCTAAACATGACGTGATAGAATTTGATCACAGAAATGTGTAACCTATCCAATAAGACGGCAGCGCTGCCTATGTTAGCCAAGCCTGCACTCCAGATAGGATTTTCTAAATCTATTATTTGTATCAGGCTTTGAGCCTTTCACTAGCACCTTCTCCACAATGTAATATCCTCATCCGGAGGTTTTGTGCTTACAGCAGCCTAATGTGAACTGCCTTGCCCTGAGTGATGGGGCAGCATTATGTGTTTCTGGCTACACCTAGGTTTTAGTTAAACAATCCTTCAGCTTTTCCATGCTTTATTACCCTCCTGCTGTTTTCAAACCGTGTGTGTGTGCGGGGGGAGAGGAGGGAGGAGACAAAAATCAATATCTGGTCTCTCCTGCACTCTGGAAGCAAAAATGGGACATTTTAAATCTGGTTAATAAAGTCTCTGGTGGGCCAAGGGGAATAAAAGAGACTGAATCTAGAGTCAGCATTCCCCCAGTCTGGTATCCCATTCTCCTGTTCAGTCACATTGTCCTGGACTATAATACAGCCACACCGAGACTCCAGGATTGGGGTGCTGCCAATGGAGTGCTTGATTTGGGGGGTTGTTTTCTCTTCAGTCCTTCTCATCCTTAGTAACTGATTGCCCTCTCACACACATAGAGAATCTTAGAACATGGGGGTCAGAAGAGACCTCAGGAGGCCCTCAAGTCCAATGTCCTGCTCAAAGCAGGACCAAACCCATCTAGTCCATAAACCAACCATAGCGCCTTCAGAACTGTTCCTGATCCACAGAATGGGACCCGACACTGCAAAATTCCAACAGAGGCAAGTGGGAGCAATGGATTGAGAAAAAAACACATAGAATTACCTCGTATTCACCCCAGCTGACATGGTATGGTTGGCTGCCGTGGCTCCTTTATGGCCTTGGTCGGACCTGCTCATCTGAGGGGCAGTCATGGGCCTGTTCAAAAAAAGATCAATAGCATAATGAAGACAATCTCTCAGAACCAGACTGACTCTCCAGCCAGGACCTGTTAAAACACAGTGCTAAATTCACTGTGGTCATTAAACACTGGCATGCTACGCATGCATCGCAGTTTCACTGTCCGTAGTTCATGTTATCAGCAAGCTACAGAGTAAAGGCTGACTTCGGGCTGCCCCGGGGCTACCTGGTGAGAACTTCCACGCTGTACAAGAGGGCCTGCAGGGACGTGGCAAGAGCAGCAGTAGCAGCAATCTCCTCGCGGGCAGCTGGCACCGTCTCCACTTGTGAAGTCTGCTTCTTCAGTTTCTGCAGGTAACAGGGAACCAGTGCTTCCAGGACCATCAGCATCTGAAGGCTGGGACAATGCAAACCACACAACCTTTCACTTCAGGCAGAGGTCTGAGAGTCCAACAGCAACCTCAGGGCGTGATTTCATTATATCTCACTAGCTAAACAGGGCTGGGCCTGAAAGGTATGTGGACAGAAGACTCCGCTGAAGGGAATCCGGTGAGTGCTGGAAGTGAATATAAACACAATTACTTCATATCAAGACAGCGTCTTTAGTCTGAGAATCTCAAAGCTGTTTACAAACCTGGTTGAGTTTTCCTGCTCTAATGTAGA